TGGGGTTTATCTGTTACTTACCTGTAGCTGTTTGCTCTGCAGGTGGTTGATTAGTGTGCTCTGGAATACCTGTGGTGCCCAGTGGGCTCCTAGGGTACTTAAGGTCTGACTGCAGTGTAATCGCTCTCTCTGCTGCTTCCCACAGGCACACCACATTTCGGTTTGATTATGCTATTCTGAGTTTATGCTGATGTTTTTGTTGTGCACCTTACAAAACCCGCACCCAACACTTTCACCCATGCACCTGACACACCACTGATTTCCACACCCCATGTTGATTATATTTACTTTAATATGTTGTGGCCACTTGAGCCAGGCCAATCTTACCTAAAAATTGCAAAACTGATATTTATAGAGCAGACTTGTTTTCCAAACTTCCATCCAGCTGCAGGAGGTTATGTTGAGTTAATAATGTGCAGTTGTTTACACAGTGAACCCAATCAGTTCTGCAGACACTTACCTACATACAGGTTGGATTTGTACTCTACATTGTGATTTTTGACTGCCATCTCCTGAGCTTCCAGAAGAACCTGAACAAACAAACAAACGAGTGAGCTGTGACATCCATACGTACTCTTCTGGTGCACAGGATTATGTTCAAAAATGCACGAAATACACAACAATTCAATGAATACAACTTCAGCAGTGAAATGGGAACATTTTAATCATACGGGAATTTGATTAACATTTATTTGTGACTGCTGTGTCTAATTCTATTAAACACATACATTAGATAAGCGTTAGGAAGGGTGAACATGCAGCTTCAAACCTCTTTCATGATCTTCGCCCCTTTCTTGTCGTTGAACTCCAGCTGTGCAATGGCCTCATCAATGCTCATCCCTCGGATCTGTGAAGGGGAACAAACTGTGAGATGAAACAACAAAATGAACGTTTCATCCACAGCCGCACTGCACGAGGAGGCCGCTTCTTAGCTGCAGCGCCATGCGTCAGCCCTGAGCTGAATAAGCACTCACGGGTTTGTAAAGCCATCAATTAAGTGCAAATGTTTAAAGATGCCATCACTCACAATGCTGAGAAATAATTTCAGAATGTTACTGGATAAACTGATAATTTGTTCCCTGGCCTCTGGCCTGACTTTCCATATTTAACTGAGATCTGTTAACAACCGTTAAAAATATCCCGAGGACTAACAGATAAACATAAAACAAGCACAATGGTGTAACATACAGTATATTCTCAAACAGAGCAAACATGACAGTCTTGTAGAATATGATGTATTGCTGTTGATTAAACTACATACAAATCAATGCAGCAGTAATATTAATCCAGAAACATCATATATAATAATAAAATACCATTTTACTGCACAATGACTACTTTAAGTACATTGTGCTATAATACTTTTACATACTTTTACCTAAGTAAGATTTACAACGCAGAGGGTTTGTTGCAATATGAGTATGTGAGGGGTAGTTACATTACTTTAGTCAGCTATAAAATGTGTAGAGCTCAGGTTGCAGTAGTATAGTTACTGAAAGGCTGTGTTGTGTTTGCTGCCACAGAAAATAAAAAGTCCCTGTTTATGTAACGTTACAACAGCGTCTGGTGTTGGTTCAGACTGTGAAAAGCTAGCTGGTTAGCAGCTCCAAGTCAAGCTAAAGTCAATTAAAATGGCCTTTCGGTGCTAGCAAACATGACACACTGCCTTTCAGTAACTATTGTACTGCAGCCTGAGCCTACCTACAGAATTTGTTGCTGACTAAAGTAACGTAACAGGTGCATTCCACCCTGCACGATGTGATTGCCACTTAACATGTACCAACTGAATTCAACAGTAGTTAAGAAACAAAGCAAAACAAATCCCTGACTGTCACCAACATGTTCCGATTATGAAGGTCTGAAACACGCATCAGCTTCAAGTATTTGAGGAGAGGTGAGTGGTGTAAAATAACTCACTAAAGTGGATAGATATGATTTACTGCTTTAGGACAGAAGATTCCTGCTGTAGGTCTCACCATTTTGGCCAGGTACCACATCTTGTCTTTGCTGTACTTAATCTGCCTCCTGCAGTGGTGGATCTCCTGAAAAGAAAAGAAAAAACATCAAAGTGTTCAGATTTGTAGCAACAAGAACCAACTTCTGTCCTACTTTAGGGATATGGAAATGATCTCTCAGCTTACTCATGCATATATACATTAGGTGTTTGAATCGCAGGGTACCTCACGATACGATACACGGCTCATGAGAACGATAATATCACGATACAGCAATTCTGCGATAATCGATATATCACTTGACAATCCTAAAGTGACACAAAATGCCTGTGAAAAAGTTTACTATTTATTTGCTGCAAATCCAAACTGTAAAAAAACACAACAATTCTGCTCAGTCTGGAACTAAAACTCCAGAGCAAGTATGAAAAAGTATTATCAAAACATTTCTTCATTATTTTTTTTTTACTGCAAATATAAATTGCGTGTACTGCCTAAGTCTAATCTGTACGTCACATTATTTTAATAACTGTTCTGTGACACAGCGTTGTGCTGCCCTTTCTCTTCCTACTGAACTGAAATTTTAGGCCACTGGGAATATTGGGTTTGAGTTTTGACCCTTTGGGGTTGCTGTAGCTGGTCGGTGTGGACTGCAGAAGCAGTAAAGTTAGAAGATCAAGAAAGTGAAGTTAGCAGCTCTTTCTTATTTCACACAGAGCTCAGGAAACATGTACTTTAAGTATTTGCACAGCATGCCACTCAGGATGTTCAGCATGTGAAGTAAAACGTGTAGTTTATGTTAAGATTGTATTTTCGCGATGGCGATGCTAATTTCCGTTAGCACGTTAATGGGGATTCCCGTTATCTGTTAGCATTGAGCTAACCGTCGAAGCGCTATTATTTATTATTATTATTATTATTATTATTATTATGTATCATTATGATGGTCTGGAATACCGATACAGTATCATGAAAAATGTACAACGATATATTGCCGTATCGATTTATTGTCACACCCCTAATATACATTAGCTCTCTGCTATTTTAAGTCAGTTTCCTGCTGGTGCCACCTGAATGAGACATCCTCTGCACTTCATGTTATAAACAGGCACAAAGGCTCACCGCTGGTCTGTGGGGTTCAGCTGGTAGCTGAGGTGGATAGACCTTGAGGTTCCTCCTCTCCCAGTTCTTTGATTCCAGTGAAGTGCTGGTGTGGAGACATGAGAGCTGCTGAGGACCGTCACCCAGAACCTGTAACCTGGAGAGATGTTCAGGCATTTAATTGACATTTATTCATTTAGCTGACGCTTTTTATCCAAAGCGACTTACAATTGCTATATATGTCAGAGGTCGCACGCCTCTGGAGCAACTAGGGGTTAAGTGTCTTGCTCAGGGACACATTGGTGGATGTGTCACAGTGGGGGATTGAACCCGGGTCTCTCACACCATAGTCCTGTGTTTTATCCACTGTTTCATAACCACCCCAATTGACCTGTCAACAGATCCCCTTCCCATCAACTGAATCACTGTACAGCAGGTGCTACTCTGCCCTCTGGGTTCCTGTTCACCAAAACATTCTGCTTTATGTACAATGTCGCCCTCAGCAATAAGGATTTAACTTATGCAACATGTTTTTTTCCTAGTAATACCGTTATGTTTGTCTATAAGGTGATATTGTTGTATGTAGGTGTAATGCCGCTGACACTGGGAACTGAGCCTTGTTACTGTGCAAAAAAAACCCAAAATGCGTCAACTCTGGTCGTATAATTCTTAAAGATGTTGAAGATTTTTTTATTTAACCGTGATGTTTAAATATTCTATATGACTAGCTTGATAACTACTAAATACTGTGTTGATTTGAACTTTATTGGAATCTGTGTCTCATTGAAAATAACACCTTTTACATAGAAAGGACAACACTGGTTGAGTCACCAGTTACATTGAAGTACACTGAGCTATAATACTTTTACCTAAGTAAGGTTTAGAATGAAGAGGGTTTGTTGCAATGCGAGTCTTTCCCAGTATGTGAGGGGAAGTTACATTACTTTAGTCAGCTATCAAGTGTGTAGATAAGCTCAGTATAAGGTAAGCCCACCTGTGGCTGTGTGTTAGGGTACATTTCTGTAATTAAATTGGAATAATCTGGGATTGTGTGTTGGAGACTGATGCATGCAGAAGATCCAACAATTTAGCATCAGATGAACTTTTTATTTCAGTATGTGTCTGACACACACAGTGATGTTTACTTGTTTTTGTTTTTTTTACTGCCAGTTCAAATGTTAGTGTTGGACCTGTAGGCTTAAGGCCTGCACTCCAGGAGAGCCATATCCCCAATGTGATGGTGCAAAGACAAACAACCACAACACTAATAATCAGTTGGTGCACATTTTGTCAAATATTATTATTATCTTCGCGACTGTGTCACTGCTATGACTGATAGTAATTAAGTATGCTAAATGGATCACCCCTACACACGCAAAGATACACAAAATAATAATAATAATTAAGTGTTAAAAAACTTTAAACACATTTCCTTCGCCCTTCTCTTTAAATGAAGTGGTTTGCACGGTGATGTGATGGATCCAGAGACATTTGTCCTTCTGCAGTCACACAGCTGTGTTGCTCTAATGATTCCGATGTAACTTACCTTGACTGTAACACTCCAGATATATTCCTAATAAAAGCGATACCTGAAAACAAGTACAAGTCTGTATAAATCATCGGTAGACACGATAAATGTCAAACAATTAGGTTGCACTTCTCTTACCACGTCCTGTCATTGCAGTCGCCATGTTGCACCTTCACGACGCCACTCGATTCCCTTTACGGCAGCAATGTTTACAGCGTTAACAGCGAAATTCCTCGTGTTAATTCTATTCTTTAATACATGTATGTAAAAATTAAGCTCGGTTGTATGTTGTTATTTGAATGTTGTCTTAGCGGTAATGGGGAAAATGCGTTAAAACTGTTAGCAAACTTGTCACGGTTTGACCCAACTAGGATTCCGTACTCGGGACCGGTAGGATTTACGACACCACGCTGGCCGTACGGCCGTTAGTGTAGTCGCTGCGACAGTGCAGGTAACATGTGAGAAGTTTTGTGTTTATGCTTTATCAGACTTTATTAGAGAATCACTTTAACCTGTTGGAGGCGTCATGCACGAAAGGTCGCTCCCCGCGTCCCCCAACTGGTACTTCTCCCGCTGCAGCGACCTGAACAGCAGCGGTTTGCTGGGCGTCGGAGCCAAAAACATAATCTATTTGATTGACGTGTCTGCATCCTTCTGCAGGGTCATAGGTGAGTCTGCTGGCGCTGCTGGACATTTTACTTTGGCATTTATCCTTCAGCCTCTGTGAGGCTAAAAGTCGAGATACACGCAGGGAATAAAAGTCATTTAATTTTTGTCCAAACCGATCAGATCATCTCAGGTGTGATGATTACTGCTCTCTGGGTCCGATCATCTCTAGATCACCCGGCTGGATTGGTTAAAATGGAAAAGTGTAGTGCTGAAATGATTAGTTAGTTAATCAGTTAGTCAATCACCAAAAAAAAAAAAAAAAAAAAAAAAAGCCAAATAAATAGGACGCTGAAAGTTAACAGCCGATCTGGCAGTAAAGGGGAAGGTTAAGGGAAACTACCTCTTTACCTGTAGCTGTCATCAGTTTATCAGCTCTAAATTATCCCAGAGAAGTCTATAATAATATAGGAAGTCTTTAAACACAATTTTAAATTTGTAAAACCTTTATTCTATTTGTGAAAATGGGAGGGCGATTTATTTATTTATTTTTTTACATGTAGACAGTGGTGGACAGTAAAAAACTCAAGCACTATGCTTAAGGATAAATTTCACTGACTTGTACTTTAGTATTTTCTTTTCATGCCACTTTCTATTTCTGCTCTACTACGTCTCAAAGGGAAATATTATACTTTTTCTTACATTTATCTGACAGCTTCAGTTACTTTACAAAGTAAGATTTCAACATACACAAAACATAGCCTGAGAGTTTAAACAATGTGATGTCTTGTTATAATTTACCCAACAGTTGAGACATAAGTACAGCTATAGTACATTTGTTGATTTTGATAATTTTTCATGTAAAAATATTTCATGTGAATATTTCCTGCTTTTCCTTTTAATTCTTTTTTTTTTTTTTTTTAGATTTAAACCCTACAAAACGAGCATTGTGAAGGTGTCACTTTGGGCTCTGTGCAATTGTGATAATATTTCTTACTATTTACAGAACAATCGATTTAATGACAAAAAATATCAGGGGATTAATCCATAATGACAAAAACCATTAATTGCAGTCTGATACAAAATAGTTCAACCTCAACCAACTACAGTTGGAAAATCCTGCTTTTACATGAATGCATGAGGAATAATAATCTAATCATATAGTCAAACGGTCATGAGACATTTTTATTTCTGCTTTGAGTACTTTTACTTTTAAACTTTTAATTACATTACAAAATCCAGAAGACGAGTTCTGTGTCTTTTTGTCAAATTTATGAAACATACTGCTGAAGGAAAAAATCAGCATAGAAGACACATACAGGGAGAGAGAGAGAGACAGGAAGAGGCGGAGCAAGCAGGTGTGTTTGCAGTACAAAACCAGGTTGTTGGTCTATAAAATGTCAGCAAATAGTGAAAAATGGCTGGATGGTTATATTAAATGTTGCCAGTTCATTTTCTGTCGCTCTTAAAATGTCTTTTAGTTTGGCTGTGTGAAGGTTCAGATCACAAATCATCACCGCAGATTACTTGTGATTCAATCGAGCAGAGACAATCGTGGCTTGTTACTCATTTTTGGTATTATTTTTTTTTCTATCTTTGCCTTATGATACAACGCTGATATGCAGCTCTCTCTCTCTGCTTTTCAGGTGAGCTTGTGGGCCATAAAGACTTGGTGTCGGGCTTTTCATTCTGTCAACATGCAGGACAGAGTCACATCTGTGTCAGCTCCTCCAATGATGGAAGTGTTCGCTTCTGGGACTCAGACAACAAGGTGCTTATACGGGAACATGCAGCTCATCAGGTGAGTGTTTACTTTCCTGTCCTGGTCTGTCATTGCAACAGAAACTGTTTCTGTTTTTGTTATGTCATGCTGATGCCCCCTGCAGGCTGCAGTCAGCTCTGCACCAGCAGCAGAGAAAACTAGGAGGCAGCCACTCATTTCCCACAATTCCACGACTCTCTCAAGGGCATTTTTGAAACAGTTGTCAAGGTTAGAGAGGGCATTGCTTAATTACTTTCCATTATTTGCGTCAAATTATGCCTTTAAGGGATAATTCTTCTGTGGTTTGATCTGAAAAGTAGAAGCCACAGACTGACGGGATGGTTAGGCTTCCGTCTTTGAGAACAGATTCAGGCCCTGAAGAGGTCTGAATTTCTTTTCATAAATAAACCCAACTAGTAAGTAACTACAGTTGTTTTTTTGCACACACACACAGAGCCCCATCTCAGCGGTGCACTGGTCTCCGGTGGATAAAAACCTGGTGGTGTCGGGGGATGAGAAAGGCATTGTGGTCTGTCACTGGTACAACACAGGAGACACCGCCAGCTTCTTCCCTGAGCCCAGGACCATCTTCTGCCTCACCTGCTCCCCTCACTCCTGGAGCTCTGTGGCTGTGGGGTAAGACGACCACAGTACAGTTCACTCTCGTGGATCACAACTCTTAAAAATGTTTTTATTTTTTTTCAGAAATTCTACCAAAAATATGACTTATTTCAGCGGTGCTTACTTTGCTTATGACAATTGTATTTTCCTACCCCCTAAAAGTCCCACATGTCGTGTATTTCATGAATACCAGGGATTACTTTTGATTTTAGAAGATCTTAATTTTGACATAGCCCGTCTGTGACTGTATATACATTTATTTAGAATCATTAGTGAAGACAAACCAAAACTAGAGCTCAACGGAAACATCGGCGTGCCAATATTATCGGCTGATATATCGGTATCTGTGTTTATAACAGCTGATAAATAACAATTAAAAAAGAAATGGAAGACAGATCCTTCAATCATATGTTGTTGTTGCATCATTTGTCCACGACTTGGTGCACCTTCAGAAACGCAGCAATCAGCTGTACTTTTGTTTAAAGTACTATTGATATCAATAAAAAGTTATTTTTAAACTGCATTGTGTCATGTTATAATGGTGAGGTCTCAAAACTGCACGTAACAAATTTTAGGGATAATATTTGTTTAAGAACCTCGGCCGATCTTTCAGAATACTGGATTTTAAAATGATCAAATATCAAAACATCGGTCTTAAAAATCCCGGTCTGCCTCTACCCAAAAGTAAACTAATCCTTGCCTCTGTGTGGATTTTCATATCCTTCCTTTCATACTTATATGCTGCACCGATCTGTTGATAAACAATATATTCTTAAATAAACAACATTTACTTAACGTAGTCAATCTTAGAAACTTACATTTATTTGCATTTCTTCTTAAAGGCCTTTATAAAGTATTTCAAATCATGACATCTGAAACAAGCATCTTCAGACGTCAGATTCCAAATGGATACATACATTTATAAAGTTCAAAGTCAAATTCATCATTTAGCTACAATAACAAAGTGGAATATATCGGTGATTGTAACGGTGCTGTCATTATTCTGTATAAGATACAAAGACGGGATGATCGTGCTGATTGATGTGAGTAAGAAAGGCGAGGTGATGCACCGTCTCCGTGGACACGACGATGAGATCCACTCGCTGGCGTGGTCGCCGGTGGCCAGCGAGGAGGCCCTCTACAGCAGACCTGAGGACACTGAAGGTAGGGTTGTGCGGTCACTTTAACAAAACACCAGATTGGTTTGGTGCACGCCTGACATCTCTCAATGCAGTAGCTGCTTTTTTTTTCTTCAGTGTGTCTTAATTCTGCACACTACATCTGTCAGGAAAAAACATTAGAAGCTAATGTGGTGGTAAAAGATGTTTGATGTGTTTTTATTTTTATCCTATAGCAACCAGTGGAGTGTCTGCAGGAGACGAGAAGGGCTGCTATCTTGCGTCTGGAAGCAAAGACCAGACCGTGAGGATCTGGAGCACAGCGAAGGGAAAAGGTATAAAGATATTCAGCCAAGGTCTGACCAGCATCAAGTTTTGGATTGAAGCTCAAATAGCCAGGATTTTGTACACACTCTATTTCCTACTCATGTGTATTCTTCCAAAAAGCTTTTATTTTCACGATTAATCGACGAATCGTTTAGGTTTTGAATTGTCAAGACATTGTGAAAAATGCTCACCTCAATGTTCCAGAGCCCAAAGTGTCTTCAAATTGCTTCTTTTGTCCAACCAACAGTGCAAAACCCAAATAAATCTTCATTTACCATCATAAATGACAAAAATAGCAGCAATTCCTTTCATTTAAGAAGATGAAACCAGCAAAGCGATCATATTTTTGTATTAAAAAAAGGACGGAAACGATTAATCGATTATCAAAATAGTTGTTCATTTTCTTTCGACCGACTAATCGATTAATCGACTGCATCTTTGCAGCTCTACTTTAGAAATTATCTGTACCTCATTAAGAAGCTCCAAAACATACTGACTGAGTAATAAGTCATATTTTTCATAGCTGTATATGAATTTAGAATAAGGTTCACAGTCCAGGGAAAAAAGCGCAAAATACAAAAATTCTGAATGTATTTAAAATTTTTATCAGTAACATCTAGAAAATAAAGCTGTAACAATTCGCCTTACACCAAAACAACAAGGGAAAAGAAACATTACGCAAAATATAAGGTAAGATAGTTTTTATACCCTGTCAGGCAGCACACACGAGGCTCGGCCGCACTCCGACACAAACAACACATCGAATAGATTTCAGAAGGGGAAAAAAACCAAAACCAAAAAGATGCCAGGTGAAGTGTGGCAAGACGCCGCAGTCAGTAATATTCCAAAGTTAACTTGCGCATGCTCGCCACAGTCTGTTTAGCTGATGGGGTGATGCAGTAGTCCAGAAAAGTCCCAACATATAATCCAACAAAAAGTTATTCAAAAAACAAAATCTAAATGTATGTTTATTTTCAACATTGGGGAAAAAAGCAGCTCAAACCCACAGAGAACTAAAGTCCCACTGCTGATGTCCTTTAAGAAATGATGGTGATCTTAATCCTCTCCTGCCCCCTGCAGGTGTGATGACTCTGAAGCTGCCGTTTGTGAAGAAACGAGGCTCTGCAGTCGACCCCGGGGTCAAAGAGAGACTCTGGCTCCACGTCCATTGGCCGAAGGGACGACCAACAGAACTTGTGTCCAGCTGCTTCTGGTACACACAGGTCTTATAATCAGAACATCAGAGGAAGCCTGATGAAATGTGATAACAGCAAAGCTCAGCAGTCAGTCACTGGGGTTTTTCAGCAGTGTTGGATTTGCCACATAAATTTGGCCAGTTGTTTTGCATTAGTAAACGTTGGATTAATGCTTTTCCTGCGTGAATTGCAGGCTCTAGTTTTAGCTCAGTATGGTATAAAAATCACTGCATAGACTTTAAAACTGGGATTTCAAAGTCAATTTATACATTTTTCACATTATTTTGTCCTAATGAGTCATGATATTGTCTCATGGTGATGCATTTGCAAGCACGGGCTAATAAAGATTATTTTAGAGTTGTAGTTTAGACAATAAAATCTACCTACTCGCCAGTAAGTTCTGTTTTTAGACCACTTTTACTGTATGTTTAGGTAAAAATAATAATAAACTTTATTTATATAGCACCGTTCAAAACACAGTTACAAAATAAAAAGTGTATTTTAAACAAAACGAGAATACAACAAACTAAAAGCCGTAAAATGTAACACGTTATAAGTGAGAGAGAGTAAAATGAACTAAAATGGCACGTGGGGGAAGTTTTCCCCTGGCAGAAAGGGGAAAACCTCTCCTATGTGCATAAATACATTTTTTTTTAAAAAGACAAAACCCAGTTTGCAGCCCTGATCTCTTCTGACAGGTCATTCAGCAGTCTCTGAGCCATAACTGCAAAGGCTTCTTCACCTTTGACTGTAAATCTGGACCTAAAGACAACCAGGGACGATGCATACAAGGGAGCGTGAAGGAGCATCAGTATCTTGAAATCGATTCTAAAACCAACAGGTAGACAGTGTAAGGAAGCAGGATCGGTGTGGTGGGAACATGTTTCCGGGCAGCTCATCCAGAGTTTGGATGAGCTGGAGGGATTTACTGATACCAGACTAGACCAACGGACTAGATACGAAGGCAGCAGTTTCCAGAGTTTGGGAGAAAGAAGTGATCTGATCCTTCAAATGTTTCTGAGATAATGAAAGCAGAATTAAACCATTGATTTGTCTAGGCTGAGTTAATTGTGCACTGGAAAATCATATCTACCAGACACAGGCACACCAGAAACTCACTTAGTGGCCTTAAAAGGGACATGGGGTGAGACAAAAATGTACATACTGTACACTATCTTCTACCAAATGCTTTAAGCTACTGTATGAGCATGCTTGGCTTATTTGTATGTGTGTATGTCCGTTCCCAGTGGTGAGTTGGTGATGTGGGACTTGACCAGGACAGGGAAGCACAGGTGGACTCTGTTTGGGACATCTTCAGAGGGTCAGAACCACAGCAGGATCATCTTCAACTTGAGTTCAGTCCACTTGCAGGATAACAGAGAGCTGCTAATCAGCACCTCCATGGACAGAGAGGTGGGTCGCCCGTCTCTGGTCTGACTAAGAAACTGACTTTAGGTTTGGTAACCTTTCATCCTGTCCGGTTAGAGGTATTTGACGCTTGAGTCGAGACTCACTTGACGTTCACAGTAGTTTCAGCCATGCTTTCACTTCTGTTGTAAAAATCCAAACATGTGTGCATCAGGATGTATTTGACATTTTCTCAAAACAGAAAGTTATAAAGAGGGAAAAACATGAATCGGCTGAACTTTGGTTAAGAAAAACCCATGTTGAATCAAGACTTTTAATCGTTTGCAGAGGGTGAACTCAAGCACGTGATACTTCATCAGGTTTGCTATTTGTTGCAACCCCCCCCCCCCCCCCCCACTATCATTGTTTCATCATCACTATCATTGTTTCCAAAAGGGCATTTGGTTGAAAGCTGCTTCATGTTGTTGCAAGGAATGCTTTCAGCGAGTGTATTAGCAAAGGGCCCTGACTGAAGCATTTATTTTCCAGATTAAATGCTGGGACCTGGCCTCTCTGGACTGCTGCTGGACTCTGCCCACCCTGGGTGGTTTCGTCTACGCCCTGACCTTCTCCCCTGTGGGTGCAGGGTGTCTGGCGGTGGGTGTCGGTGACAACATGATCCGGGTGTGGAACACACTGACCACCCAGAACCAGTACGACACCAGGTCCTTCTGGCAGGGCATAAAGTCCAAGGTCACAGCGGTGAGATGTTTTGGTTTGATTAGGTTTTGTTTCCCTGCAAGTTTGTCACGGTCAGATATTAACAATGTTGACTTCTAAAGGGTGTAACAAAGCATTTAGCTTAATTGTTTTGTAATTAAATTTTGATGTGGTTTATAAAACAAAATATTCGGTGTATGACCCATAGTACGTTCAGAATAGTAGTATTTTTTTTTTCCTGAAATGTATGAGGTCTCAGAGCAGTGAGACAAAGAAAACGGTGACATTGTTCTTTCTAAATGTCAGTTTTTTAATAAAATCCTCCACTGAGCTGTTGATAAGACCACGCAGACTCCTATCAGCCACTCACAGCCGTAAGATTCAAGAGGGACATTTGTAAACATGCTATGACTCAGACTGTGATTTATCAGTTTTCACTGGAACCTGAGGTTTATGACAATGACTGTGAACAATATCCGGCATCCAGTGTAGAGCTAATATCAACCCGGCACATCTGTTTCACTCCGTTGCCCAGAGCAGGCAGAGCGTCTGAGAGAAAGTTTGTGGAGAGGATTATTGTGATTAGTTTAGACTTGTCAGCAGCCATTACTCATTTCCGAAACTCAAAAGCTAAGCTAAGAGATAATATTAACTGCATTAACAAATGTTTTCATTCACTGCAGCTGGCGTGGCACCCAAAAAAAGAAGGCTCCTTGTCTTTTGGAACAGACGATGGTAAAGTTGGTATCTACGATGTCTTCTCAAACAAGTAAGATTCTTGTTCTATGTGGTTTTTTTTCCTATGGTTTAATTGCTCTATGGAATCTAACAGTTTCCAGTAGTTTATCATATCGGTCCACAAATACACACTTTAGTTTCACACGTTAAAGTTTTTAACCCACTGCAGTTTATTAATGTCCAACTGAAATTAAATTGATTTGAGTGTTTTTTTTTTTATGTCAGTGTAAAGAGGAGTACATTTATATTAAATGTATTTATTTCTGTAGTTTCAGAAGAGTGTCAGTCATAATACGGTTGTTGCAGACAAAGACATTATTTACATATAGCCACTCAAATACTATCATTGTATAAACTGTACTGGCTGGCAGCAACACTGACTAAAAGCCAGTCAACAGCTTGAGACACAACATGTTTGGCTGAGACATTAGCTTTCCATATTAACCTTCCCCTTCTTAAATACAAGCATAGACAAATTTATTGTGTTTCACCTTTGCAGCTTTATTCTTCAATCATACTGCTAACAAAACACTGGATGCCACTGGCTTGTGGACAGCAGTTACCAGAACAAGTTTGTTTACGTTGTGTCTTGGTGCTTATACTCAGTCAAACAGCGGCCTGCTCAAGGAAGCGGTTTCCCTTCCTTTCAGTAACATAAGAATATTAACAAATTTAAAGGTACCCTATGCAGTTTTTGTCCACTAGCTGCACGGACGATCATGCCAGTGGTGTGATTCACGTTCCAGTTTCATGCTATAACGCACAAAGAAGCGTAGCAATGTGCCAACAGAAGCAGAAGTGTGCTTGCATGCAATAGGAATATAAACCATGCATTTTTTCAGATAAACTTTGCAAATGTTTTATGAGGAAGAAATGCATTCCACACATTTACTAGACCTCAAGAATGTACACATTGTATTTTGGTAGGAAACACAGAATATAAACATAACTTCTACTTCACAGGGCACCTTTTAAAAATATGGATTTTTAACTGCAAAATGGCTGATTTGTGATTTTCAATTGGAATTTTAGCTTGGAGATTCTTCTGAAAGTCCAGAAGTTAAACCATTGCTTGTTTTTTTTACTCGCAGCCTTGTGGGTCTTTCTTATAATCCCTCGAGGCCCCTGGGTTCCATTTTCCTGCAGCTTCATCCATTCCTGACTGGCCAATTGTTCTGCTTCATATCCCCTCAGACCTCCTCAAATATCGAGCTCCTATCACCGAAAAACAGTGTACACATTGGCCTGGGGACCCCCAGTCCCCCGATGTCATTTGGTAAGTTTCTAATGAACTCTTAGCAAATGCTGCTGTTTGCTCCTGAACGCTCTGACCCAGCAAAGCACTGGCGGTGGGATGCCGAAAACCAGTGAGTCAGCGAAAAAGCCCAAACATCTCTGCACGCTCTTTTGTAATCAGCTCTGTAATTGAATGAGCTGAGAAAACACTTACTTCTCACCTCCCCCCCACTTCAGTGGCTCGTGGGGAAATCAAGACGCAGGAAGTTGATTTTACCAGCTGTCGGCAGATTACATTTTGATTAGCGTATCAGTCACTCGGCTCAAAGCCGTAAACCTTAATTCTTGCCATGCCAACAATCTGCTGGTGGGAGCAGCTAATGTGTTTACTCGCAGCCATGACATCGGTCCAGCTCAGGCCGGCAATCTCATTGGCTCAGATCATCAGGATGACTTACAGTAAGCGTGCAGAGAAATTGGAAGCAGCTGCTTTCTCTCAAGACTGTCACTGTCACGCTCCCTTTTTCTTCTTTACATTTAAATCCTCTACATACTGAGTGCTCACCATTGCAGAGGAAACCAAGCATCTCGGACCACCTGCTCTTTCAGTAAAATGAGCTGAAACAGATGAATGCAGCTAACAACTACAGTTTAAATGCATCTGTTAAATCAATTTCAGCAATTAAGGGTGTCTATGTAAGGGGGAGTAGATTGAGCCATTATAGTTAAGCCTCTAAAACGCTTTAATGTGTTTTTCTGCTGGGTGTCCAGAGTATGTTTTCAACTTGCACAGGCTGGAACACATCGGAGGGTTCGCAGGTATTATAAGGTTCATATCAATGAACAATGGTGAACATTACTGAAGTGTCCAGTATACTGTAATCAGTCACTGTAATGCACAACTGCACTGACACTTGGTCAAAGCTGAAACAGACACACACACACTGTTCAATTAATTGAATTAACAAAATGCCAAACTATTGTCAGCTGCTGAACCAAAATGTTATTAAAACACCATCTATAGTCAGGAGACAGTTGTTTATTTTGTGTGTGATGTTCAGGTGCAGCAGGAGCGAAGCCGTCCTTCAGCCTGTACAGCTGCGCCGGCGAAGGCGTCATCCTGCAACACGATCCATCGAAGCTGAGCGGAGAGGCGTCGGACATCGACAAGCTGATCAGAGACACCAACGACATCAAGGTGGGAGGGATGTTGGTGTGAAGATGATGATCTAATTCTCCAGGCCATTTACCCTGCGAGCTGGGTCATGTGGTTGAGTTTTAAGTGAGGGCTTTTTCCTTTTAAGTGCCATGATCAAGTCCCTGAACCACCTACATGCACCCACTCAGCCAGTCCCTGAATCATCCTCTCAAGTTTGTTTAAAATCATATACCAGTGGTTCTGCATGGCATCAGAAAGCAACAACTGGATTATATGTGCACACAAGGCACCAAGCTTGATCTGATTTCTTATGTCAAATGGAAATAGTTTTTCTTTGAATGTTTTAATGTCTTTTTGGAAAAACAAGATTATAGCAGTTACCTCTTCTGACACTCACCACTGAGCTCTTGTAACCCAAAGCAAGGACAACTTATTTATGCTGCTGACACTACGATGAGCAGTAAATCAATCATTTTTTATATATATAAAATTGATGACCTCTACCTTTGTCTTCTCTGTCCTTTAACGTCCATGTGCAGACTACAGAAAGCCTTTAGAGAATTAAAAACGGCACAGTAAAGCCTGACGCACACCTCCAGGTGGAGAACAAACCCAGGAAAATCCACAGACTTCAAAGCTTTGATGGAGCAGACAGTTTGTTTCATGTTTGCTGCTGCATGTAAATGGAGTTGATTTGAATAGGTTATGAATGTGAGTTCTGATTCCCGACAGCACAAGCTGTCTCCACACACAGACCTCTGCTGGAAGCCAGATGGGAAGGTGGTCGCCATCGGCAACGAGGACGGGTGAGTGAACGACCCTGTCTCACGAGAGACCATCAGCCTGTGTAGTCCTGCGAGGGACCAACTGTCCACTCACAGTGTGCAGTCTTCAGGCTACAGAAGAACTGTTGTACTTGACTAACTGGGTCACATTCTGATTTTATGATTTTATGATGCATCTCAACACTTTCTGAACCAGACAGATTCTGTTTGTAAAAACTGCACTGTTTGCATTTACTTTTTGTAAATGTTAGGCGTCAGCGATTTGACTAAACTGCCAAAACTATTATTAACTTTTTAGCTCAACAGGTTTTATGGTGAATATGCCTGTGCTTAAATGTTTGATATCGTGTCGTTCATCAGCAGATGTTAATTTCTTTCTCTCTCTATCCTGTCATGCTTTTGTAGTTTTCAAGTTGTCTTGGAAATGCAGTTAGTTTTAATTCTGAATGAAGTTATTGTGTTCCTGTTTTCCCCATCATACATCTTGACCGCATGTTCTCCGCTGCAGGTGCATTGATGTGTATCAGGCTCCCAGTCTGAAGCTGCTGTGCAGCATCCAGCAGCACCACAAGATCATCAACACGTTGCGGTGGCATCACGGCCACAGCTCTCCACCAGAGCTGCACTGCCTCTTGGCCTCGGGCTCCAGCAATGCTACCGTCTACGTGCACGATCTCCGCTCCATCATTGGTGGGAGGAGACATCAAGCACACATTGTATCGTTCAGTCCGTCCAAGGAATTCCCTTACAAACCCTACATTATTTACAAGAATGCATTTTTTGAGTATTTCAGCAAAAAATTGTCAGTTTAGCAGAATGATTACAAATTTTAGGAGGGGGAGTTTGGCTAACTCAAAGCATTGGCTTTAATTAGCTGTAAACGTTCATAAGTAAAGACATTTTTATTAATGTAAGTTGTAATTAAAACTGCACCTCTTTATTTAAAATGTGTACTCTTACAGCAATGTCATTCAACCCTACCAGCCTACCAGAGTATTACAGGAAGATGGTTTTGTTGTTTAGGTCGCCAAAAAAACAAATAAATTCAGTGACATCCAGCAGTTATTTTGGAGATCTCAGAACGTTAAGAGCTTGATATGTGTTGACGTTAGTGTTGTTCTCTTTGCACAGAGAATCCTCCAGAAAGTGCTGTGGTGTTGACAGAGCCGTATCGAAGGCTGTGTGGTCATACAGGTAAAATCACCGGCATGGTCTGGAGTCCACACCACGACGCCCGGCTGGTCACCGTCTCATATGATGGCACGGCCCAGGTCAGTACCAGGCCAGCATCATGGGTATAAAACCATGATAATGTGCCTGACCGATGTAACGGTCTGTCTGAACCCCCAAACTGTAGAGCAACATCTTGAATCTGAAGCCACATGCTCCTTTTTTGAGAGGTTTGGCTTGGACTTGCTGCTCATCTAATGAGTGGACTTTGTTACCTAATGCATCAAACTATTTTTATCTCCTCCTTTCATACATTAGTATTCCTCGTTTTCTTTGTAATATTTCTTCCTTTCAGACATCAGGCTTCTGATGTTGGATATTTTGGTCTGTTCAGGTGTGGGATGTGCTGCAGGAGGCGGCTGTGTCTAACTACCGGGGTCACATTGGTTATCTGCTGTGCGTGGACTGGTCACCTGTTGATCCAGATGTGATCTGGACTGGAGGGAAGGACTTCACCCTGCAGGAGTGGAGAGTCTCCCAACAAGAGTTTACAAAGCCACCTAAAGGTGAACACAGTCTTTGCGGCGCTGTTGAAACACCCAGGAGCACGTCCTCCAACACTAAAGAATAGGTTAAAGAAAAGTTATTCCTCTTTCAGGGAAAAAGATGGTCGACCTGAAGGAGAAGATGAAGGCCAATGCCAAGCAGAAGAAGAAAACAAGAAGGCGCTGGGTGCCGGAGGAGCTGCACCACTAGAGATGAACGGAGAGACGGTTACAGGAGGAGAGAAGGCGGCAGTGGGACAGGAGCTGTCTGGTGAAGATGGGGAGGATGAAGTCAGCTCAACAAACAGTCCTGTACCTCCACCAGGTAACAACAGTTGTTACAGATTTCAGAATGAGTAAGATGGTTGGGACTTTGTAAAAACTTTATTGTGAAATTTTCTTTCAGCCACTTTTGAGATGCAAAGAAAATTATCTACTGCCGTAAAGAGCAAAGACAAACCTGGTACGTGCTGCATTTATAAAAAGAAAACTGAATGTATTTCTGAAATTGGGTGAATTCATGTTATTATATGTGACAATGTTTGTTTGTCTCTGTGTTTCCAGACTTAAACTTGCTGAAGAAGAAGAAGCCTCGCTCCATGTTGCCCCTCAGTACCTCCATGGACCATCGGCCCAAAGAGGATCTGCTGCAAGACTGCATCACTCTGGCCTCTGTCAAACACAGCAACGGTGAGCCTGAATCTGCTGTGGAGAGGTTTGGTTTGGTGATCATATTACAGAGAGACACATTTTATAAGTCTGAGCTTATTGATGGGTCAGTTTTTTTTTTATGTGGTGCCTTTTGTGTCCCCAGTACAAATCATGTTGTTTTGTATAAATTTGGACAAACACTAGTTCCATTTGATTTTTCATGTAAGGTCAATTGATATTAATTATGATTACATTGTTGTTTTTTTTACATTTTAAAAGCTTTGGTTAAAGAGGTACTATGGGATTTTGCCATGTCCCCAGTGTTGATCATTCAACTTAGATCTAAAACATAACTTATTCTTTTTTAATTGTCCTGTTCAAATATATTGGATCAAAATCGTTAACTTTTGTACAAAAAAAATAAGGTTTTATGTTTGTCCCCAGTGACCACTGTGCACCCTGTTGAGTTGCATTAACTGTTCCTTTAAGTGGGGAAAAAAAACAAACAACAACAATTAATGGCATCCCTCTGCTTAGGTGACCAGGTGACATCACACCAGTGGAGGGAAATTTAGCTTAGATTTTAGACTTTAATGTGTTTGAATAGCTTGTGTGTTGTTAGCTGTGTGCCTAGGTAGGCATATTTTCATTCAAATTTCAAAAATTTGTGAAAAACTTATAGATTCCTCAGATTGAAGGTCACGCTAGCCATTATGCTCTCACAGGCAGGCAAAAGGCTAACTTTAGCTCAAAATGTCCACCCTGTTAGTTTTTCAACAGTGTAGACACTAACAGGGTGGACGTGAGCGGAAATAATGTGCACTTGTTTTGCTATGCTGCTTAAAAATTATTTTATTGTAAAAAAAAAAAAAAATCTAATAAGAGTGAGGGACCTATAACATGTCATTTTAAGTAGCAATCATGCCCTGAAAACACTTGTAAATATCTAAGTTCTTAACTGGGTGGACATGTCCCGCGTGTCACATGTTGTTAATATATCTAAATTTAATACAAAAGGTGTCTAAGCTCATCCCAGATGTTTTCATAAAGTTAGATATATCTTTTATATAATAGAACTTTAAAATATGGGTAAATCAACCATTCATTTATCCCATGTTATGAAGTCCAAATGGCACCCTATAAAAAATGACCCTGATTACTTTATAGGAGACGCTATGTTTCACTCTGGTTGGAAGATAACAGCAGTTGAGCCAGATGAAGAGTGTGAGGAGTCAGTTTATTCTTTTTCAGATTCTGTTATTTCCAAATGTGGGAGCTGAAGTTGAACTTCAGGGACGAGTCCAGGCTAAAATAACAAGCACAATAACTCCAAGTAAAATCACATTGCTAAATCTAAACTACCAAAGAACCAAAAAAAGTTATTACAATACTGAACCTTACTCCCTAATTACAAACAAAGGAGAAAAGAGAAGGAACAAAACGTGCGCTCTCCCCTACAGAGCTTCCTAGCAAGGAGGTAAAGATCAAGTACAATACTGACCAGCTGGATCTTTTGCATTTCTGGTTTGGTAACTTTAGGTTGACGCTTCAGTTACCAGCAAAAATAATGCTTATCAGCAAATGTCATACGATTTACTGATTTTACTGTATTGTTTGTGTTTGGCTGGTTTCCAGCTCCCCCTGCAGGCTGTGTCCCAGGCCAGGAGAGCATCTCCATCTGGGCCTCTTCTCTGACAGACCGGCTCTCCACCGCATGTTTGAGGCTGAAGGTACGCTGTTTCTGCCACCCTGGACTTTCTTTGTGTTGAATGTGCACTCTCTGATTAACACACAACGGTTAATAAAACGTCATGTCCTTCATGGATACATTTCCGTTGTTTACGTTTTCATCTGCCCATTTAGTTTTACAAGTTTAATTAAAGTGAGCACATAACTACAACTGACACCTTGTCGATCCCTGACGTGCTCATGGTGCACACATTGTCTGACTCAACTCAGAACTAAATGCGTGTTCATTTCAGGAATTCATATCACATATTTCAGCTCTTTGGAGAGAAGATGTCACATGTTGTGTCAGTGAAGATTTTGGCTCTG